ACTTCTCTCTAAGTATTGATCTAGCTAGGGTATTTTCCTCACCTTTGGTTTTCATAAAAGTTGGGTTGATCGTCGAGGGCTTTACCTTGATCCGAAAATTTCGAGTTTTGGAGCACGTTGAGTTTCGTCATCTTCATCCCTTGAGCTCCGAATTTGAGGTAGGGATTCCTACTCACTATTATAGTCTTCGACATAGATTATTGGTAGGTTTGATAAAGTGTTAAAGTTGGTTGATTTTGGGACTTAGGGTTTCAAAAGGGTATAAACGGGGGTTTCTTATTTTGATTATTAAATATGTATTTTGGGTTTCAAAATAATGATTTTGTTGTTGGTTGTTGATATATAGGCCATTAGGTCAATATCGGAAATGGGGTGGAAAACCCTAATTTGTTGAATAAATTAATTGGTATAATTAATTTGGGAAAATTGTGGACTTATGGAATTGAGTATGAAATAATGAAATTGGTTCATTATATGGTCGAATAGTAGAGTTAGATTTATTAATCGCTCACTTTGAAAACATTGATATTTTATCTGTTGGAGCTTTTATTATCTGTTTAGAAATAATTGCTTGGGCTACTGGTGGAGGGTAGTTTTGATTGTTGTAGACAATGCATGATGATTAGGCAAACTAAAACTAATCAATTGGATATGTCATAGAGTATGACGGTTGATAGGATACATTAACGTTATGTATTGATTGATTGTGTATATTACTTTTGGGTATGTATATTGTGTGTGTGTGGGAGGAGATAGGGGATGTACTCCACGATTTAGAGGAAGATAGGGGATGGACCTCTAAACCGGATGTTGTTTGGAAGGAGATAAGGGATGGACTCCACTGATACAGCTCATATGCTTGTCAGATAATGTGTTGATATAGCTAATATCCATATCTGTTGAAATGTGGATACAGCTTGTATGCTTATCTGTTGAGATGTTGATACAACTGGTATGTTTATCTATTGTAAAAATGGGAAATATTTAATATGAGTCATTGTCTCATATAAGTGGTTGGCCAGGTTCTGAGCCGTTGATGTAAATTGGGTAATTGATAAGAAATGGAAAGTGGAATGGAATGGAAATGGGTTATGAATCGGTTTATGGAAATTGAACATTTATCAATTGCTAATGTCTTAGTCATTACTCATACTGTGTTTAGCATATCTCTACTGGGCTGTGGTTCACCCTTTTTGGGACATCATTTTCAGGTACAGGTAGCATACCACCTCCAAGGACATAGCTTGGGAGGCTAGAGGCAGGCGGATTGTTTTGTTTATTTCTTTTGGCGTATTACATGTAAATTCAAGCAAAGGGCTTATTTTGTATAGAGTTAGTACTCTTCTTTTGTGTAACCAAGTGTTAACTTGGAAAGCTGTAAGCCCATAGGGCATTTGCTTTTGTTGTTAACATGTAATACAGTTGTAAGAATTACTCTGATGAATAGAAATGGTTGGTTTCTTTTATATCAATGCATGTTTAAAGTAATGAGTTTTATGTATTTTTTTTTAGGGCGTTATAGCCCGCGGCCCATGGACGGCCAAGAGCCCACCCGCGGCCCGGCCCACCCTGTTGACAATGTGAATATTCACATTGACATGTTAACATTCACATTGATAGGAGTGTAAAATTATCCCGCGCCTCGTAGCTGCCCGAAACCCGTCTACGGCCCGTGGGTGGCCCGGGGCGGGCCCGGTCCGGCCTGTTAACAATGTCCATATTCACATTGATATGTTAACATTCACATTGATAAGAATATAAAATTGGCTAGCGGCCTAGGGCGGGCCCGACCCGGCCTATTGACAATGTGAATATTCACATTGAGATGTTAACATTCACATTGATAAGAGTGTAAAATTGGCCCACAGCCCATGGGCGGCCCGAAGCCCGATTGCAGCCCGAGGCGGGCTTGGGCTGACCCGTAACATTGTGAATATTCACATTGACATGTTAACATTAACATTGATAGGAATACAAAATTTGTCCGCAGCCCGAAGCTTGCCTGCGGACCGGGGTAGGCCCGGGCCGTGGGCTTGGCCCGCCCCGTGACATTGTGAATATTCACATTGACATGTTAACATTAACATTGATAAGAGTGTAAAATTTGCCCACTGCCCGAAGCTTGCCCGCGGCACGGGGTAGGCCTGGCCCGTTGACAATGTGAATATTCACATTGACATGTCAACATGCAGATTGATAGGAATATAGAATTGGCCCGCGGCCCGTGGGCTGCCCGAAGCCTGCCCACGGCCTGGGGCAGGCTCGTTTGGGTCCGGGCCTGAGCATGTCCGAGACCCTAGGCTAGGGCCTAGGCCATCACTTTGAAGCCTAGCCCGGTCCATCAACGGGCCTAGCCATTTTTTTTAATTCTTTTTAATTTTTTCTACAAAAATTTTATTATTTTCCACAAAAAAAGACACTAGGCCTTGGCGCGGGCCGGGCCTCGGACCGAGCCTTGAATGGTCCTTAAGCGGGCCGATGGGCCGAGCCGAGCTTCAAAGTGATGGCCCAGGCCCTAGCTTAGGGTCTCGCACTAGGCTCGAGCTCGGGCCCAAACGAGCCTTTCTCGGGTTACGGGCGGGCTTCGGGCAGCCTACGTTCTTTTTACTATTCCATTAAGTCTTATTTGAGGTAAGAAGACCAAACCAAAATATCATTTTCATCTACTTATATTCCATTTAGTCCACATTATTTTTTTATGTTTCAATAAGTCCTATGGGAGACATAATTACCAAAATACCCATAATGTGAATGTTCACATCGTCAATTTGAATGTTCATATCATTAATGCGTAGAGGCCCGGGCCGGTCCATATCGAGCCTCGTGGGTGTCCGAAAAAATCCGAGCCGGGCCAAGCCACGGGCAAAAAAATTAGGCCCAGGCCCTGACACAAGGGTATTCGGGCTTTGGACGGGCCGATGGATCGAGCCTCAGGTCAGGCCGGTGGGCTTGGGCCTAGCCTCGAGCTTAGGTCGGGCTTGGGCGGGCCTGGCCATTTTTTTTAATTTTTTTTTAATTTTTTCTACCAAAATTTTATTATTTTCCACAAAAAAAGACATTGCGCTTCGGGCGGGCTAGGCTTTGAACCAAGCCTTGAATGGGCCTTAAGCGGCTGATGGGCGGGGCCGGGCTTCAAAGTGATAGCCTAGGGTGTCGAACATGCTCGAGCCCGGACCCAAATGAGCCTGTCCCGGGCCGTAGGCGGCCTTCGGGCAGCCCACGGGCCGCGGGCCAATTCTACATTCCTATCAATGTGCATGTTAACATGTCAATGTGAATATTCTCATTGTCAACGGGCCGGGCCGGGCCTACCCAGGGCCGCGGGCAAGTTTCGGGCAGCGGGCAAATTTTACACTTCTTGACATGTTAATATTAACATGTCAATGTGAATATTCACATTGTTACGGGTTGGGCCAAGTCCGCCTCGGGCTGCGGTCAGGCTTCGGGCCGCCCACGGGTTGTGGGCCAATTTTATACTCTTATCAATGTGAATGTTAACGTGTCAATGTGAATATTCACATTGTCAACGGGCCAGGTCGGGCCGGCTCTGGGCCGCTGGCCAATTTTATACTCTTATCAATGTGAATGTAAACATGTCAATGTGAATATTCACATTGTCAATAGACCGGGCCGGGCCCGCCCCGGGTCGTGGGTGGGTTTTAGGCAGCCACGAGGCGCGGGCTAATTTTACACTCCTATCAATGTAAATGTTAACATATCAATGTGAATATTCATATTGTCAAGCCGCGGGCCAATTTTATACTCTTATCAATGTGAATGTTAACATGTCAATGTGAATATTCACATTGTCAACGGGTCGAACAAGGCCCGCCCCGGGCCGCGAGCGGGTTTCGCGCCGCCGCGGGACGCGGGCCAATTTTACACTCCTATTAATGTGAATGTTAACATGTCAATGTGAATATTTACAGGGCTCGGCCCGACTCGAATTTTTCTGGGCACCCACGAGGATCGACATGGGCCGGGCCCCTACACATTAACGATATGAACATTCACATTAGGGGTATTTTGGTAATTATGTCACTCATAGGACTTATTGAAACATAAAAAAATAATATGAACTAAATGGAACATAAGTAGATGAAAATGGTATTTTGGTCATCTTATCTCAAATAGAACCTAATGGAATAATAAAAAAGAATATAGGTTGGATGGAATAAAACTCTTAGAAAATGGATTTATAAAAAAAGCTCCCATTTTTTAACTTATTTTTAAAATATTTTTTTTATAAAAAATAGAAAAATAATGTGATAAAAAAAATTAAAAAAATTAAAAAACTAAATTTTAATTTTAATTACAAAAGAGGCCTTAGTATGGAGAAATGAGATAACAGGTAGGTTATTATCCCTACATGTGAAACATAAATCTCAACTATGTCGAATTTGCAGACAAATCTATAATCAATTATGCCGAATTTGCAGACAAATCCATAAACATAAATCTCATTTTGTGTATTTGGTTTGTGTTTTTTAGATTAATTTTTTAAAAATTGAATTTTTTTCTACATTTTTTTTAGTAAATATTTTTAAAATTTTAAAGATTTTTAAATTTTTTTTTAGATGTCCTTTATTTAGATGTATCTAAAAAATTAATAAATACAAAAAAATATACTAAATTCTCATATTTTTGATATTTAGTGAATTTTTAAAAGATTTTTTTCACATAATTATATTTTTTATGTATATTTATATTAGGAGATTGTTTGAGAAGTGCTAAATTAGTATACTTTTTTGACTTTTTATGAAAACATGTGAAATATAGGATGTGTTTGAAGTGATGTTGTAGAGAGTTGATGTGATTCAAATAAGAAGTGATGGATAAAATAATTGTGACTCAAATAAGATAATATGTTAAAATAACATGTACTATTTTAGCACATACCAAACAACTTCTAAAATTTAAAAAAATTAATTAAAATATTTAAAAAATTTAATAAAAACAAAAAAAAGTAGGAAAAAAAATTCTGTAAAGTGTTTTGAAAACCAAAAACAAGGTTAATTTTCAACTGATTTATGTTGGAAACCCACACGGCCCTCGGCGGCGGCGCCTCCTCCGTACACGGGTGCTCCTCTCCTGCAACATCTTCTCTCTTGGAGTTTCTCTGTGTTTGTGTGTGTTTGGAGTTCCTCCTCTATCTTCACGTCTTTCTCTTTCTGTATAAGTACTGTATCTGATCTGGAGAAGTGAGTCAGTAGAACATACAGCTGAACTGATCGATCAAGGGCCAAAACTTTGTAAGTGTCTACTTTCATGACGAAATTTGATTCCTTGTATGCAATGCAATTGCGAAAATTTGTTTTCTTTTCTGTATTCTGGACGTGCATTAGGTAATATATATATATATATATATATTGTTTTGTTTATGAAGTTAGGTTTTTGTTTCTATTGTTTTAACATAAGTGTGTAATGTGGTGAACAAATTAGGGGTTGTGTGATTGATGTATTAATTAGGGGTTTTGTTTCTATTGCTAGTTGAATGAATTTTGTAGAATTGATGTAATTTTGTTTTATGTTTTTGGTGTAGTTACTGCAAGTTTCAATCTTTATTTAGAACTATAGAAACAACAAAGAGTCAGTACTTGCTGTGAGATTGCACTGGTTTATTTTTTTTAAACTTTCTTTTTTCCAGGCCTTTTGATCGAATAATTTCTGGGCAAACAAATACTATGGCTTGCATTTCGTATAACGTTGGGACTTCAGTGAAATTTTTTGGCAGTCATCACCACTGTTCATCGAGGCCATTCTGGGGCATTCACCGGTGCTGCGACTTCAGAAATTCATCATCACTTTTCTATGTGAAGCCACTTAATTCGAGCTCTGTGAATCTTCATGGTCCTAGGGATTCTCAACTCTTCAACAGCTCGCGATGCTTCTCTACTGTCTTCAGCAGCATTTCTTCAGATAACGGCATGCCTGGTAAGAACAAACCCTAACAATTCTCTCTAGCAAAGTAAATAAAATCAAAACATAACTAAGATAGATTATTTAAGGATTGTTTATGCATATTGTTCCCTATTTTCCCTTCATTTTGTTAGAAACCAAACAAAACATATTAATTTAGACCCATTTTCTCCGCATTATTAGTGTTTTTTTGGGAGGTCAGTATGTTTTGGCTGGAGTTGGTTATTATTATTATTATTATTAGTGATGGAGTAATTTTTTCTGTTTTATTAGTTATGCTGATGCTGAGCGGAAAATGTCAAGGACTCTTGAATTTATGGCTCGGAATTTGACTCCCCTAGAAAATGCATTTTGGTCAAGAATTTTTGTTGCTTTTTGTGTGTGTGTGTGTTAAATATGAAATGCATGAAGAAGTTTGAAAACTAGCGAAAATATACAATGGAGAAAACTTTGAAGTTGTTTGTTAAAATTATAAGAAGCAAGTTTTGGTTACAAAACTTAGATAAAAGATGCATCTTTTGAAAACAATAGATTAGATCAGAACGTCTGTTGTGCTAAAGTTGTGTATGTATACATAATATATGCTTTCCATTTCTTGTTTATCTTTGTGACTGTTTCTATTAGTAATCAATCTACCGTTAACTGCATTGTGTTCCTTCTCTCTCTCTCTAAGAATAGGGGGTGCACAATTTACTAATGATGGCTTAGCTACTTGGCCATGTCTTGCCATTTACTTATCCATCTCTTTAAAATTGGTTTTTGCAGAAGAAAGGATGGTTGTGTTGGTCATTGGTGGAGGGGGAAGGGAACATGCACTTTGTTATGCCTTGAAGAGGTCTCCCTCTTGCGATGGCGTCTTTTGTGCACCAGGAAATGCTGGGATTTCCAGCTCAGGGGATGCCACTTGTATTTCCGACCTTGACACCTCTGATAGCTTGGCTGTGATTTCCTTTTGTCAAAAATGGGGTGTAGGATTGGTTGTGATTGGACCAGAAGCTCCTCTTGTTGCAGGTCTTGCAAATGACCTAGGGAAGGCTGGAATTCCTACTTTTGGCCCTTCAGCAGAGGCTGCTGCTTTGGAAGGTTCCAAGAATTTCATGAAGAATTTGTGTGACAAATATGGAATTCCCACTGCTAAGGTTGCCCCCCATTTTAATCTTAAAGCAAAATAGAAGATATTGTTTGCTTCCTTTCTTTGTCTTTCGTATAAAAATCTAATCAAGCATGATTTACCTTAAGTAGTCACACTACTTTGTCTAGTATGCGGATGCCAGAATTTTATTCATTTTATATGAAAATAGACAACAAAAATGATCCATTATCATTATGGTGTTGAAATTTTGCTATCTAACATTGGAAAAAGGGTTGATTATTATTGGATAGTAACAAATGATCCCGGTCTCTACTGAATTACCCATGTTGCCAGCTGTAGGTGGTAACATTTTGTTTTGACAATATAAAGGATTTTACTTCAACATTTTTGTGATTTGTCTGTATAGATTGGAAAATTCTTTTACATTTGCTTTGATTGATTTGGTGCAGTATCAAACTTTTACGGATCCATTTGCTGCAAAGAAGTACATAAAAGAGCAAGGTGCACCTATAGTCGTCAAGGCAGATGGATTGGCTGCTGGAAAAGGAGTTATTGTTGCTATGACGTTAGAGGAGGCTTTTGAAGCTGTCGACTCAATGCTTGTAAAGGGTGTTTTTGGATCTGCTGGTTGTCGTGTCATTGTTGAGGAGTTTTTGGAAGGTGAGGAGGCATCGTTCTTTGCTCTGGTTGACGGAGAGAATGCCATTCCTTTAGAATCTGCTCAGGACCATAAACGAGTGGGAGATGGTGACACGGGGCCTAATACTGGTGGAATGGGAGCATACTCTCCAGCGCCTATCTTAACAAAAGAACTCAAGTCTTTGGTCATGGAATCTATAATTCTTCCTACAGTAAAAGGAATGTCTGAAGAGGGGTGCAAATTTGTTGGGGTTCTCTATGCTGGACTCATGATTGAAAAGAAGTCCGGATTGCCTACTCTAATAGAGTACAATGTTCGCTTCGGAGATCCAGAGTGCCAAGTGAGTAAACTTTAGTCTATTGCTAATTGACATTCCATTTATAATAATTTTGTGATTTAAAGAATGCTGATGACCTGTTGCCTACTTGTTTGACACTTGTGTAGGATTGAATCTGCATTATGTCACGGCCTTGGTTATTTCCAAGCTATCCGTGTGGCACTTAGACAATCTCAAGCTTTGTTTGATGATGCTAAGTCAGCCTAACTCACAAACTTATAGGAAAGAGAAGTAAGAGGAACACAGGAGAGTTTGAGAGAATGCCTTGTATTCACTTATGAGAAAGCTTTACAATTCTTGGATGGTTTGGAGCAAATGAGCTCCTCCCCTATTTATAGGCACTTTTGGCCTTTCCTAGAACACTCTAGAAGCGACGAGGAAATACATGGAGAGGCTTCCCTTGGAAGCCTTTCTTACAAGCTACAAGAATATTCTAGAATTCTATAGAAATATCTATACAAGATGTTTACAAGTGTCTTGAATACTCAAGGATGTTCTAGAATTTTTCATGTTCTCTCAAGTGTTGGAATGAGCTAGGAAGTTCTAGATCCTTCCATTGATCTCCATGCTCCCAAGCTCCCATATTTTCTCAGCTTCCAGAATATTCTATTAGCCTCCCTTCCTTGAGATTTCCTCTTGGTAGGCAATTTTGTGTAGGTAATTTGGTAGGACGTGAGACTTAGCTGGCATTCATTATTTCCCATAAGTCTTAGTTCTCATATATGTATACACTTAACAGTTTGTTGGGCCGTGTTTGTTGGTCATATAGGAAGAGTGAGTATTGTTTGCTTTGATCGTCGTCCAACTTCAAGAACATTTCCTTGAATTCTCTTCATTTAATTTGGGTAAATTATACTTACCACCCTTAAACTTCACCCCTGAACATGTGGTCTCTCTAATTTCAATTGTGACGATCAAAACCAAATATATCAACTAAATATATAGTAAAATACCTTTTTTACCCTTGTATAAATGCATTATTCCATCCTCATTAACTAAATATAGCAATCCAACCACTTAATTTGTGTTCTCTGTATAACACTCTCTCTAAAGTAAAAAACCACCACAACCACCCATTTTCTTTTTGTGAGGTATGACTACCACCATCACCTTCTCCACCTCCATCTCCACCTATACCTACTCTTCATCTACAGGGTTACCTACCACCAACTTCACCCACTGTCTACAATAAAACCACACCACCAACAATTCTGACATTCTGTTTATAGTAAAACAACCGCCGCCACCACCTCCCCTTCCTTCTCTTACTATTTTCAGTCTCTACAAAATGACCTACCACTGCCTTTAACCACTTTCTCTTCAAGAATAAAATCCTTGCCACTACCTTTATAATAAGAAAACTACCATCACCCTCAAGAGAATCATGATTGAACAACATTTGGGTCTATGGAATGGACCATATTTTGGTAGACACATATATTTGATGGACAGTTTTTATGTTAAGCATAGATATTGTTATGGTATATTTGACCCCGGGTCACTAAATTATGTTGGTGGACTCTGGTGATCATGGATATTAATTTATTACTCATTTTGCTATTTTCCAAGCATAATAGACTTTTTTATTTCTTTCTTTTGTTAGGAAAGGGTTAGTGTAGAAGGGTTGGCGAGGATGGTGTACTTTTAACAGGATTAACTTATTTCAAATGACATGGGAAAATGGAATGGAGAAGAACTTCTTTGAACAGTAAAGAGGGAAACAAATAAAGATAGGTCGGGTCTCCCTTATTGTCCATCCAGGGTGTTTCTCCAGTTTTCAAAATGATATTTTAAGCATGATGATGCCATTTCCTGTTAGCGATATGCAACTGTAATTTTGAGGCTTCATGTAGCGGCCGTCTATTGGGTGCATTCACGTGACCATGTCTACATTAAAAAAAGAAAAAAAGGCACACAGAATTTCATTGTGTTCATCATGTAGCATAGGCATATTTACTCTTCAATAGAACAGTGGTCATAATAACAAAAATTAATCCAACCTTTTTAGTAAACGTTTGCTTTTTATGATTCACAGGTATTGATGGTTCGTTTGGAATCTGATCTGGCACAAGCTTTACTAGCAGCTTGTAAAGGTGAACTGAGTGGAGTGTCTTTGAACTGGTCTTCGGGCTCTGCCATGGTAGTGGTGATGGCAAGCAATGGCTACCCTGGGAGCTATGTGAAGGGAAGCGTGATTCAAAACCTTGAAGAAGCAGAGCAGGCCGCTCCGTCTGTTAAGATATTTCATGCCGGTACTGCACTTGATTCAGATGGCAACTTCATTGCCACCGGGGGACGTGTTCTTGGAGTCACTGCCAAGGGAATAGACCTTCAAGAGGCCCAGGATAGAGCTTACCAAGCTGTCGAGGAAGTGAACTGGCAAGGTGGGTTCTATCGCCAAGACATTGGTTGGAGGGCGCTTCCACAGAAACAATTTTCCCCGAAAACATGACAATAGTGTTTTATGTGTTTTGCGAGTATTTACGGTGTGAAATGAATCGAGGTTGTCCCATTTAAGAATCAAATTGTGTATTGAGGAATATATGAAAAAATGGTTGTTCTATCTAGACACTGCCAAAAATCTTTTCGAGGAAGATCTGTTTCATTTATAAAATTTTGTTTGTTTTGGCAAAAAGTAGAGAAAGTGATGTGATAATTTATAATAATTTTTTTATTATTGGTTATTTTAGTTTATTGACAAATGAGGTCTTAGTACAATACAATACGAAAGAAAAATGAATTAATTTGAAGGGAGTGTGAGAAAATTTCTTCTTTTTTCCCTGTCTATTCAATTTTATTAAATTGTTCATGTAGTTAACAAGGTGAGATTATTGTTGGAATTTTTTTATTTAGGAAGGTAGAAAGACAAAACTAGAAACGGAAGGAGTTTAGCAAAAAGAAAGTCTTGTTCGATATGAATTTTTGACATCAGCTAGTTCAGAGAGAGGGTGGTGGCCACCTCCTTTGGTTTGAAGCTTTCCGTTGTTTTTGTCAAATATTATCATTACTTAGAAAATATGAGGAAGAAGAACTCCGAAAATATGAGGAAAAAGGAATATATTTCTGTTATATTCAAAATTTCTTATCTTACAAGACCAAATGACACTCCTTATATAGGAGATATTACAAACATCATTATAACCCATTATATGCCACTTACATATTATATATTACCACTATCTACCACTATCATATTATATACATGCCACTATCTGCCACCAACACCACTATCATATTCTATACATGCCACTATCTTATTATATACATTAACACAAATTTTCAGCACTCCCCCTCAAGCTGATTTGAAGATATCTTCCATTGCCAGCTTGCTAGTCAGCTTATCAAATTGCTTCTTGTGTAGTCCCTTCGTTAGCACATCAGCTAATTGTTCACCTGTTGGAAGGTAGGTATCAAAATATTAAACTTTAATATAATATAATAAAAAAGAAAAGACATTTAATTCCTTGAAAAGTCCAACACACATGATTATTATCAAAATATTAAACTTTAATATAATATAATAAAAAAGAAAAGACATTTAATTCCTTGAAAAGTCCAACACACATGATTATTATCAAAATATTAAACTTTAATATAATATAATAAAAAAGAAAAGACATTTAATTCCTTGAAAAGTCCAACACACATGATTATTATCAAAATATTAAACTTTAATATAATATAATAAAAAAGAAAAGACATTTAATTCCTTGAAAAGTCCAACACACATGATTATTATCAAAATATTAAACTTTAATATAATATAATAAAAAAGAAAAGACATTTAATTCCTTGAAAAGTCCAACACACATGATTATTATCAAAATATTAAACTTTAATATAATATAATAAAAAAGAAAAGACATTTAATTCCTTGAAAAGTCCAACACACATGATTATTATCAAAATATTAAACTTTAATATAATATAATAAAAAAGAAAAGACATTTAATTCCTTGAAAAGTCCAACACACATGATTATTATCAAAATATTAAACTTTAATATAATATAATAAAAAAGAAAAGACATTTAATTCCTTGAAAAGTCCAACACACATGATTATTATCAAAATATTAAACTTTAATATAATATAATAAAAAAGAAAAGACATTTAATTCCTTGAAAAGTCCAACACACATGATTATTATCAAAATATTAAACTTTAATATAATATAATAAAAAAGAAAAGACATTTAATTCCTTGAAAAGTCCAACACACATGATTATTATCAAAATATTAAACTTTAATATAATATAATAAAAAAGAAAAGACATTTAATTCCTTGAAAAGTCCAACACACATGATTATTATCAAAATATTAAACTTTAATATAATATAATAAAAAAGAAAAGACATTTAATTCCTTGAAAAGTCCAACACACATGATTATTATCAAAATATTAAACTTTAATATAATATAATAAAAAAGAAAAGACATTTAATTCCTTGAAAAGTCCAACACACATGATTATTATCAAAATATTAAACTTTAATATAATATAATAAAAAAGAAAAGACATTTAATTCCTTGAAAAGTCCAACACACATGATTATTATCAAAATATTAAACTTTAATATAATATAATAAAAAAGAAAAGACATTTAATTCCTTGAAAAGTCCAACACACATGATTATTATCAAAATATTAAACTTTAATATAATATAATAAAAAAGAAAAGACATTTAATTCCTTGAAAAGTCCAACACACATGATTATTATCAAAATATTAAACTTTAATATAATATAATAAAAAAGAAAAGACATTTAATTCCTTGAAAAGTCCAACACACATGATTATTATCAAAATATTAAACTTTAATATAATATAATAAAAAAGAAAAGACATTTAATTCCTTGAAAAGTCCAACACACATGATTATTATCAAAATATTAAACTTTAATATAATATAATAAAAAAGAAAAGACATTTAATTCCTTGAAAAGTCCAACACACATGATTATTATCAAAATATTAAACTTTAATATAATATAATAAAAAAGAAAAGACATTTAATTCCTTGAAAAGTCCAACACACATGATTATTATCAAAATATTAAACTTTAATATAATATAATAAAAAAGAAAAGACATTTAATTCCTTGAAAAGTCCAACACACATGATTATTATCAAAATATTAAACTTTAATATAATATAAAAAAAGGAAAAAAACAAGACATTTAAAATAAAAAATAAAACATTTAAAAATCACAATTCACATTTATAGATAATTGTAAACACAATCCGTTCATAGCACAGGTAATATGCTAGTCTATACTATATATTAAGCAAAAGGAGGTTTTTAAGCCACAAGCCTTGTGGGAGGTCTAATATCTCAATCATAATTTTCTAATTTTTTGATTTTAAAAAAAAAACCTCAGCATTTATTAATTTCTCCAAATCCCCATGTCTTTTGGGAGATTTGGTCAAAACCCTCCTCATAATTATTTAATTGTTTTATTTACTATTTTAATGGTTCTTCTTTACAATTATTTTTTTTATTATGAAAAAAATATTATTGTAATTAGATAGCATAAAAATATTTGTGATTTGTATGATTGAAGTTATCTCATTTTTTGATGTATTTGGTCTAGCAAAAAAAAAAAATTATAATTTGTATTTGGTTTAGCAATTTCTTCTTTTGTCTACTATTTTAATGGTTCTTTTGATTGAAGTTATCTCCTTTTTTTATTTGTATTTGGTCTAGCCAAAAAAAATTATAATTTGCTTTTTTAATATGATTGAAGTTAGATAAATATAAACACTCACAAAGAGAAAAATGTGTTTGTAGTTAGTTCAATGGTTATTTTTTTTAAATGTAGATTGGTCAGAAGAATGTCTATACCTTTCAAAAGGTTAAAAAAAGGGGGTAAATTACATTGACACCCCCTGAGGTTTAT